GCAAGTATGTGTGTGACCCCGATCATGTCATTACGCATACCGATATTCAGATTCATACAGATTTATCTTACGAGGAGCGATCGGTAGCTGTGTTGGACCGGTAGGTTCGACGGCTCCGGAAGCGTGATGTTTTCCTCGTTCGTATTCAGTGGGATCGCCACAGAGCCACTTGGGAGCAAGAGGCTGATATTCGCGCTCGTTTTCCAAATTTTCAGTTCTGATGTACATATTCTTTTATGTTCCATGTATATATGTTCCGTTTTGTATTTCCGAGGACGGAAATATTTTAAGGAGGGCAGATTGTAATAACCCAGTATGTTATTAATGTAAATTACGTGTTTAGTTCCGAAATATTTATGTTATCAAGCAGTATCGTTCGGAACTAATTATTCAAGTCAAGAATGTTGGAATTAATTTTCGAATTCATGTCTATGCTCGAGAAAATTTCTAAGTATTTAATTTCATGCATTATAAGTTAATCCATGTCTAATAGCTCGATAAATATTTTACCGAGCTTAATCATGTTTAAGTATTCGTTAGTTAACGTGCCTTATCATGTATTAGAGCCAACCGTGCTTTGCTTAAGTCTAAACACGGGTCATGCACACTCAATACACATCATAAGTGCGGCCATGTTAAGCTTAGTACCAAGCACTTTATTAGCGCATAATCATGCTTATGGAGCGCTAATGGCCGAGAGTTACTCTTCTCCATTTTTCACGTGAGGTTTCATCATTGCCTAGTACACATGGAAGCTTAAGGTTCACTTGAGGCATGACTAAGCAAAGAAGGTGATGAGTAAGCAAGGTGAAGGCCACCTACGGCCCTATGCACACGGCAAGTGGCGCTCGGCCATTGGCCGAGACTTTTACCCAATTTTTACTAGCGTTTACCCCTTTTATAAAATCAGAGAATGGGGTGTAAAATATAGCTTATATCTAAGCTATGCACTAAGCAAAATTTAAGCAAGATTAAGCTATTTCCATACGCACGCACGCACAAGCCTTTGTTCGGACGAGTAATCACGCGAGACCTTGTGCAATTGATCGAGATTTTGAGGAGGTAACATCGTCTTCACCATCTTTTCAAGTTAATATGATCATTTTAGGTTTACCATGTTCAGTTCATCGTCTTCACCATCCTTTGATTCATGTCCTTTAAGCCATGACCGAGGGATGTCCGTTTTTATTCGGCAACTTCCGAGCGTTTTATGTTCCAGTAGCCATTATTGGGTATATTATGTTCAGTTAAATGATAGTTGTCGAGACAAGTTGTTGTTTGCTTGAGGAATTGGCCTAAAGCCATAAGTCTGGTTGCCTGAGTGAAGTTCTTAATTTTCGAGCAACTTGAGTATATCTGGTCATATTATATCAAATCATGTTAATTCACGTTGATGTTGTCGGAGGAAGTCGCC